TATTCCAGGTCTTGGGGGCTTGGACAGTAAAGAAAATTTTCCTTATGTCCAGCCTAAAATGGTCTTGGAGGAATTTGTGACTGTTGGTCCTTGTCATCCCTTGGGGTGCTCTGGGGAAGAGACGTTCCCCCAGATCCTGATGCACACCCCGGACATACTTATATGCTGCCACCAGGACACCCCTGGGCCTGTGCTTTTCCAGGCTGAAGAGTCCTGTGGCTCTCACCCTCCCTTCATAAGGCCTATTCTCTTGCCCTCTGATCATGCATGTGGCTCTGCTCTGGACTGTCAAGGTTTTCCACATCCTTCTTGAATTGTGGAGCCCAGAACTGGATGCAGTACTCCAGCTGTGGCCTCACCAAGGCAGAGTACAGTGGGAGGATAACATTCTGAGACTTACTTGAGAAGCATCTATGGATGCAAGCCGGAGACTCCAGTTGTCCTTCCTTGGTGCCAATGTCAATTTGCAGGGGGGTATAGCTGTCCCTGACGGAAAGCTACATCCCCATCCCTTTTATATGCATGATCATGCCTGTCCAGGGTATAGTCATCTATACCTGTGGCCTAGTCATAGGTGGAGTCCCACCAGGTCTCTGTTATCCCTATGGTGTTGCAGTTATTCTTGTTTAGCAGGAGGACCAGTTCCTCCTGTTTATTCCCCAAGCTCCTGGCATTGGTATACAGGCAGGCAAGTGTCCCATTGAGGGTCCTTGCCTTCCCCACAGATCATTCCAGGGCTAGGGCAGGGGTGGGTTCCCTTCAGTGCCTTAGCCTGCTGGACTTACAAGGGTTTCCCAATGGTCTTGCAGTGACAGTAATCCCCCTAACTCCTGGTGGGCTTAGTTTTAAAGCCCAGTCAAGCAGGTCAGCCAGTCTAGCTGAGAAGAGCCTCCCAGTCCTGTTTGGGGTGGCACATCATAGGGCTGTTATATGGATGAAACACAGAGAAAGAAGAAGCACTGTGAGACCCATGGAAGAACAATGGATGCTCCTGGGTATGTCCTGGAAGTAAAACCAGAAAGCAGTGAACATTTCAGTCCTTGGTTGATCTCCCTCTTTAGGAATCAGCTCTCAGATCAAGCTTCACAAGAGAAGGCTGAGGGGGGACCTGGTGACCGTCTATAAACTCACTAAGGGGGACCAGAAGGGTTTGGGGGAGACCTTGTTTCCCCCAGCGACCCCCAGGATAACAAGGAATAACGGCCACAAGTTGTTGGAGAGTAGGTTTAGATTAGAAATCCATAGGAACTACTTCACAGTCAGGGCTGCTAGGATCTGGAACCAACTTCCAAGGGAAGTGGTGCTGGCTCCTGCCCTGGGGGTCTTTAAAAAGCGGCTCCATGCCTACCTGGCTGGGGTCATTTGATCCCAGTTTCCTTCCTGCCCAGGCAGGGGCTCGGACCTGAAGATCTACAAGGTCCCTTTCGACCCGACTTCTATGATTCTATTCCCTGCTGTTCCACCCTGATGAGTTTGTAGATGGCCACAAGATCACCTCTCAGCCTCCTCTTGTGGATGCTGAAGAGATTTAGGACCCTCAATCGGTCCTTATAAGGTTTTTTTTTTTCTTTTCTTCTGTAGGCCTTTAACCAGATGGGTGGCCCTCTTCTGAACACCTTCCAGGTTATCTACATCTCTCCTGAAGTGTGGTGCCCAAAACTGGACAGAGCACTGAAGCTGCAGCCTGGCTGTCACTGGTAGATGTTGTAAGGCTTTGGTTCTTTTCTGGTCAGTGTCTTGTTCTCTAGCGCTGTCAAGGTGAGACTGCAACCTGGGGCCACCTAGATGGTTTTGGGCGCTGCCCCTACTTTCCTGCCATGTCTTTTGATGTTGATTGATGGGGAAGCAGTTCCCTGTCAGTGGTCCCCGAAAGGGGTCTTGACCCTGGTGTTTCTTTGTGGGGCTCTAAACCTCCACTTTAGCCCACCCTTACCACATCCATGGCCTGGGAAGATGCTGCTCCTTGCAGTCTTCCTTGGAATGATCTCTTCTCATCCACATTAACCCACCTTGACCTGGGTCGGGTCCTTCTGGCCGTCAATTTTTCTTGAATCAATCCCTGGTCTCTGGATCAACTTTTGGGCAAACTAAATCTGCCCTGGCCTGGGGTAAAATCAACTTAGGTTAATTCTTAACTGAAAAAGGTGTTCAGCATCTGCAGACAGGTGCCCAGGATTCTGACTCCCACGATCCCTCTGACTAGGAGCTAATCACTCCTGGTCCCACCATCTAGTGGTACTTGCCACTTCCCCATAGGGCTCCGATGCAGCTGCCGCCTGTTCCTCCCTCTTCACCGGGTTGCCCGTGGGACTTATCCATCGCTCGTTGCTGCTCCCCACTTCAGTACCTGTGTTCTCTGCTATGGTTGAGGTTCTGCTCGGACTGGTAATGGAGAACCACTTCTCCCCATTGCGGCTCTCCAGCGACCCTTAGCTCCCAGAGCCCAGATTCCTTGCTCTGTCAGCCAGGCTTCCCCAGCTGATGCTAGGACTTCCTTCCCTATGCTCAGGGCTGCTGCTGCCTGGCTCCACTGTCTGCGTCTCCTGACCAGTGTGCCATGCCTCTCCCTCTCTCCAGCTGATTCCTCTTTCAGCTGCTCTTTGAGCAGCCTACGCTCCTCTGAGACCCCGCCCCAGGGCTCACCAATTCCTGAAGAGATTCAGGTCCCTCAATCGGTCCTCATAGGGTTTTTCCTGTAGGCCTTTAACCAGATGGTTGGTCCTCCTCTGAACCCTTTCTAGGTTATCTATATCCCTCCTGAAGTGCGGCGCCCAAAACTGGATGCAGTACTCCAGCTGCAGCCTGACCAATGCCACATAGAGGGGAAGTATCACCTCCCTAGACCTGTTTGTGATGCACTTACTTATTCAAGAAAGAGTGTGTTTAGCTTTACTTATTACTTCATCACATTGGCGACTCGTGTTCATTTTGGAGTCAACTGTGACTCCGAGGTCCCTTTCTGCATTTGGGCTTCTTAAAATGGTACCTCCCAGACTATAGGAGTATTGATGATTCTTCCTCCCTAGGTGCAACACATGGCACTTATCTTTGTTAAACTGCATCCTGTTCTGTTCCTAGTGTTGGCAGGACAGAGGTGGAGTGGAACCTTGCCCTGTTTGGCCACAGTGTGCCTTCTGGTGAAAGTTTCTTACAGGGTTGAGCTTGCTTGTGGCCCCTGACAGCTACTTGTGTAACAGGGGCCCATGCTAGAGTTAACATAATAAGCAACTCGGGTACATATGAATGTGTCAGTCAGTGTGTCTGTCCAGGCCATCTCACACTGCCCAGCACACCCTCTCCTAGTGCTGCGGCTGCCCTTGTCATGGGGTATGAAGATACTGTATTGTACAGATGACAGTGGTTCTTCCTCCCCCAGCCTGATTTTTTTCCCACCCCCCCCGCCTTGCAAAGTACCAGTGCTAACCCATCCATGCCTTTCTCTCCCCTTGGAGTGGGTGAAGCTAGCTGGACCATGCCCTATTTCAACCCCTCAACAACCCCCTATAATCTACAGCTGGGCCCCAGATCCATTCTTCTCCTTAAAAGGGCCCTTCACCGTCTGGCAGCAACATCAACCTAAGTCTGAGCTGGAAACATGATGAAGCTAATTCACAGCCTAAACCTAGGGGATCCACAACAGGGGTCTTGATCCACCTCCTGGCTTTGGACAAAGGTCCCCGCAGCCTCCTGCACTGGGTACGTGCTTATTGGGGTGATTGAGAGCCCCAGTGTCAGCAAGAAACAAAGATTCCTGTAGAGTGAGGTTTTTGTATTGCTCTGGATGCATTTTGTCGCACTGTGCGGCGGCCACAGTAATACATGGCCGTGTCATCAACTTTCAGGCTGCTCAGCTGCAGATAGGCCGTGCTGATGGAGGCATCTTTGCTGACAGCGAGTCGACCCTGTAAGGCCTTGGCATAACCGGTGTCCCCGGAAGAAGGGTTAATGTACGCCAACCATTCCAGCCCTTTCCTGGGGGCCTGACGGGCCCAGTTCATGTTATTGCTGGTGAAGGTGTAACCAGAGGCTTTGCACATCACTTGCACTGACTCCCCAGCCCTCTTGATTTCTGCCCTGGACTGGGTCAGCTGGATCTCAGCGCTGACACCTGTGGGGGAAGAACAACCAGTAGCTGCGAGCCACGTCATCTCTGCCTTTTGCTTCTCTCTCCAGACCTAGTCACATTCTTCTGCTGCTCCCTCTTGGGTGCATCTCACCTTCTTGCAGGTATTAATGCTCCCAGGGACACCCCACTCATTTCAAGGAGGAAGATGGTCTCATCCTTGCTTTCTTGAGGGGAAAGTGAGGCACAGAGACCAGGATCTTGAGGGGGTGTGGCTGCCTCTTGCCCAGTGAAGTAGGTGATGTCCAAACCTCCTGGAGAGGATGTAAGATCTGGAACTCCGTTGTCATCATCCCCGGGCTGGCCTGTAACCCCAGCACCCTGTGATTTCCCAGTCAGGCTGCCCCATGTCCCCAGCGTTACCCGAATAAGCAGCCAGGAAGAGAAGCAGCCCAAGACCTGTCATCTTCATT